GAGTTCCTCACAATGCCAGACTCATATAACAAATGGAATCAGCCATCATGAGACAGGCAACAGGAATTAGATCAAGACTGCAAGGCTATACTCAGCAGTGTGGAGATTAGTTTAGGGTGCAGACAGTCGGTTACAGTATGGACTCGCTGTGAATCTTGGCAGTGGCTAAAACAGATTCACTTAGCACTAAAATGAGTCGCTCGTCTGCGAGAGTCCAACTAGTGTTGCATGCAGGGCTTCAAGGAGCAACAAATGATCTGCTATTAAATGATAAGTGCTGTTAACACAGACGTTTAATTTACTGGAGTGAAAGATATCCAAAAAATAAATATATTTGAAACGGAACATTGTGCAGAAAAAAGTAAAGCAGAGAGCACAACCCAACATGCCTCCCCTTTCAGAACTGTTTTCAAAACTGTAATGTTAAACTGCTCACGGTCATGCCTCCCATCTTCAATCTGAAACATCTAACCCGCATTGCCTCATCCACTCACTTTCAATCCCCTCATCAGCCCCCTACGTTTTTCCCTCAATCACAAATAAATGTTGATGGGGCAAAGATAATGTTGTCAAAGTAAGTAAAAAACATATTGATGGCAGAATAACAACCAGAAAAGGGTGTGCTGTACAGAATACATGAAACTGACACAGAAAATAAAACCTTTTTGTTTCACTTCAAATGAACTTTCTTGAATCATAAATCGGATAGAGGTCTGTAATGCATCCTCTACATTACAGGAGGCCTTTAAGAAGAATAGAATCCACCAGGCAGTAATTACAGCCATGTTTCTGCCCGGAGATGTCCAAGATGGAGCTGTTGGTCTTTTGCACATTCAGATACAAACGTAGTTCAGAGTCTGGTGCAGCTGGTGCTGGTGTGTGCTTTGAAGTATGTGAATGTCATGTTTTCAGTTTATTTAATGGGCTCAGGTGCAGAGTCTTAGCAGCATAAAGCTCGCAGTACATTGCAGTGTAACCATGAAACCAACGGTGGCAATCATTTGTAGTCTGCACAATAAGTTCTGGATCACAAGGTTAAAAGTGTGACACAGCTAAGCCAAGTACAGAGAGCCTGTTCACTAGACATTATGGCAGAAACTCGCTATGTTATGTCATTTCACAGTTCTTTTCTTTTTAGGGATTCAAGTTCAAGTTTCTTACTGCAGAGCGAGGTCATTGACTTTCAAACGTACGTTGTTGCTGCATTCGACAATATGCAATTAGTTGAATTTGTACTGATTGTGGATCACATTGTTCTAACATTATATCCTGACCCCTTTCTAAACTGTTACTGATTCTTGTGGTCTCTGGAAACACAATGTGATATGGATTAAACCAGCTGTTTAGCACTGTTATTACTGTGTGAACAGTAGATAACAATCCTATTTATATTGTATGAATTTGTTAATGTTTTGTGGACCAGATAGGAAGCTTTGGTGGGCCACCAGCAGATGGTCAGTGTTATAGGTATTGTATTTAATATGTAGCCAATTGTAGGATTATTTAGGTTAAATCAAAGGTTTTGTCGCAGTTTGTGTCAGATCCAGCTAATATGACATCCTCCCGGTATTTTAGGATTTCTTTCTCCAGTGTTAGTTCTTTATCCTGGCTGTCAATTGCAGCAACATGTTCTACAATTGGTAGTAGCCTATTGGGGCATATAACAGGTTATTTTGGATACAGGCCAGAACATTGGCATGAATCTGAAATCCTTTTTGACCCATACTGTAGCTGATGCTGGTGTATCTGGTACATGTGGGAATATTTAAATCAACAAGGCATTTGCAAGTTTAAGCACTTAAGGAAGTTGCCAGTGCAGAGCTCCTTGCTTCTTGCAACTTTTTGAAACAGATGCCCATCTGGAGCGAGCCACTTATGTGTTACTTCCGCCTCAGGTGAAGATTATAAAATAGCAATGTTTCTTTTTTGACTGCCAGTCTGAGTCTCTGCAGTTTGGTCCACTTTTGCACATTCTTGTCCTGCTGTTAGTAAGAAGTTGCCTTTTTATTCATTAACAAATGTGACTGTTGATTTTTAGATGATATGGACACAGTAGTAGACGTGAAATACTGACCCCCATTACTTTGGAGGTATTACATATTGCACCTCTCATGATAATACATTTTCAGCACTAAACATATAAAGTCATGTTCATTTATTTGCGTGATAACTGGACTGTCCTTGATTCATTTAATAATAGGGCCTGTTGGGAACAAATGTGTAAATACAAGATAAGCCTGTTGGATGTTTGATTTCTCTGCGACCTGTGTTCAGATTATCATGTAACTCATTTGGTGAGACAGTCACACATATGCAGAGGCAATTATATGGTAATTTGACATGCTATATGTGATGCTGTTGTATAACTTGAATTTAAATGAAAACTCTTGATTGACATCATTAAACTGGTCAGAAGTTTAGAGAGGGTTAGTGCGGATTGTTGTAGCACCAAAGGGTTCCTTTTTTGATACAAAAAGAAAAGAGAGATACATTTTGCTGTTGTTTTACGGTTGAATACTCCCACACAATATTGTCTGTTGGCAACTAGGCTCCAAAAGTATTGATGGCTGGAGCATAGCAGCCTTCAAAAGGCTTAAGTCTAACCCTGGCCATTGAAAACTAGTAGATCAAAAAGAAAACTACAGAGGGAGCATGACCGTGCCTTTGCCACTAGTAATGTGTTTGTGTGTGCGGTACATACTGTATATAACCACTCGTGTGTGTGTGTACATGTGTGTACAATGCTGAGCGTCTGGGGGAGAACTTTGAGCTGCTTGATGCTCTTTTGTGAGGATGATTAATGACTGGAGTTTGTCGCGCAGCTCTGTGAAACCATTGTGGCCTTGGAGTCTGCTCGCCTGCTATATAACGGAGCGAGAGATAACAAATATTGAAAGTTAGCCTTCGCCTAATCAATAGCGCTTTTTTATGAGTAAAACTCAATGCTATTAAACTGCATGTGTGCCTTTTCGTTTTTTTCACATACCACACAATTAAATAGTTGATAGAGAAGGCAGTGCAATGACACATTTCTATCCTACTGGGTATATTTATTCGAACATACCATGCAGCCTATATAAACATATCTGTAAATCTGCCTATTTCTATTTTGCTTCTCTGTCTGTTTTCCCTTATTGTTTCCTCACGCTGGTGCCCTCCCTGTTAATCCCTCATCTCATCATATTATACTTGCTGTCTTTGTTTTTCTCTGAATTGATATATGTGGCGGTGGCAGAATACCTAGTCTCCTTCTCTATCTCTTCCTGCCTAATTGACAGTCGTCGTCTTTGTATTTCTTTGTCAGCATTGTCCTCTTTTCATTGTTTTTTTCATGAACTGTTTTCCTACATAAACATCTCTTCAGTTCTTATGTTTGCTCATAAACCCCTCTCCTTCCAATTGTACCTCCTTTTCGCTCAGATATGTAACCTGGATTAAAGTGGATGGCAGGGTTTACAGGCAGAGTCCTTTGTGGCAAAGTACATAAATATTGATATGAATACGAAAGAATCTTCAGGCTTGTTTGTCTGTTTTTGCTTGATTGAAGCGTAAGCTACATCTCTTCATTTGCTGGAGAGCGCATGGCCACAGGTCGTATGAATTTAAGTACTCAAAGGCTGCAGTTCGACAACAATTATTTTGGAGTGCAATGTGTAATGGCAATACAAAATACTCCATTCTGAATGGCAAGATAAAAAACTGTGCCGGCCGGATACTCACAAAAACACGCAAATCAGAGCACATCACCCCCATCCTTCACTCACTCCACTGGCTCCCTGTAACACACCGGATCAACTACAAAGTCCTCATAATGGTCTTCAACGCCATCAACCACACTGGCCTAGGGCTGCTCAATTAGTCGTATTTTAATCGCAATTACGATTTTGGCTTGCAACGATTACGAAAACAACGTAATCGAAATAAAACTAAACATACTGTTCAATTTTTTTTTCAATAAATGGATGTTTTCAAAGTAAATGGATAATCGTTTTTAATAATCGTGATATCAATTATTGACCCAAATAATCGAGATTATGATTTTTGCCATAATCGAGCAGCCCTACACTGGCCCCACCTACCTACAGGAACTGCTAACCAGAAAACATTCCCATACCTCACGCACACTCAGGTCAGCCAGCTCCAATCTCCTGGCTGTTCCGCGGACAAAACTGGCCAGCATGGGAGACCGTGCTTTCTCCTCCCTGGGTCCACGTCTGTGGAATCAGCTTCCAGAGAACATACGGACCTCGGCATCACTCTCAGTTTTTAGGAAATGCCTCAAGACCCACCTGTTCCGTACCGCATTTTACTGACTTTCCTTTACTTTATTTATTTATTTTATTTTAACCCTTTTATGCTCTTAACCTTTTATTCAATATGCTCCTTAGATATATTTTTATTTTATTTGTTTTATTATTTTCTCCTTATAGCTTTGTGAAGCACCTTGAGATGACGTTGTTTTTAAAGTGTGCTATATAAATCTAATGTATTATTGTTATTAACATGTTTTCTACTACCCCACAGCTCTGACATAGTGGCATCGTAGTAACCTAGAAACATAGAAAGAGCAGACAGCCTCCAGGGATATTTGAATGGAGGCTGTAACTATCCAGAATTTGGAAGATTTGAGTCCTGTACTTTCTTCCAAAAACAAATCATTCCAGTTCAATGCCACTTTCAATTGCGGTGATAAATGTATATCTTTGCTAGGGATCAGCAATAAAGGCATTTTCTCAGTAAAGTAAAACCGGATGTAGTAGTCTATTCACAACAGCTCTTCAGAAACCTACAGGGTTATTTCCTGGATCATTTGACCATATTTTATACCTTCTATTTTAGCTGTGCATCACGCAAAGCCGATTAGTCTCTGTAGCATTTCTTTGTTCCCATGCTTAGAATATATTGAGGTAAACAGCTTTTCCGAAAAACATCCATGTCACCTAAGTATGAACTCAATGATTATACAATGCTAAAACTAATGTGCATTTGTTTGCTCGCAGACTATCGGCCCAAAGGAGGGCTGGCAGGTGTACAGCTCGGCTCAGGATGCTGATGGCCGCTGTATCTGCACCGTGGTGGCTCCTGAACAGAGCCTGTGCTCCAGAGATGCCAAGAGCAGACAGCTCCGCCAGCTGCTGGAGAAGGTGAGCAGAGGGGGTATTTAGCACCCTGACACAGGCAGATACACTCTCCTGTTTAATATGGGAATTAGGAAATAACAAGTTTATATGTTTTATTAAACACAGGTTCGCTGCTGCTAGGCTTTACCACCTTTGTTCTTTTTCAAAATAAGCTTGTCACACATTCAGGTACACATGCAGGCTCACCAGGGAAAACCCATCAAAGTGCCTTTCAATTATTTGCCGTGAAAAGAAAGAAGCAGCGAACGGAAGGCATCCTTAAATCACCTGCTGAGTTCATCATAAAATGTTATACTACACCGCTACATTTCCAATTTGTGAGTGGTTACACTCTTAGGGGTGATTATTTATCACTGTTTCATTCCAGGTGCATAACATGTCTCAGTCCATTGAGGTTCTGAACCTCAGGACCCAGAGGGATTTCCAATATGTCATGAAGATGGAAAACCAGATGAAGGGCCTGAGGACCAAGTTCAGACAGATCGAGGATGACAGAAAATCCATCATAGCCAGAAACTTTCAGGTAGTCTTCACCATCGCTTAATCACTGCCTCATTTAATCAAATCTGAACTGAAATGTTAAATGTGGCATTCAATTCACGGATGCTATTGTGCATCCGGGATGCTTGTATACAGGTTTTAAATCCTATTTCATCTTAGTATTCTATGGAGTTCTTCAAGAAAGACTGAAAATCAGAGTTCCAAACTCACGTTGATCTGTTACTGTGTATTAATATATGGTTTCCAACAAGCTGAAAAGGAACATGTATGGAATGATAAATGGATCAAGGCTTGTTGGCTTATAGCTCCATTAGGTGCCTCCTACTGTACAGTAAACATAATATCAGTATATTTGATAATGATTAAAAATGCAAGTCACTTGAGACTATAATCCTATTATATTAGCATGGAGCTCTGAAACAACAAAGGATGTGTATATCATTTCAGATATTTCAGTGGTTCAGATAACAAGAAGTCAACGTTGCCTGAAGCAGGGCTTGCTTCTCTGTCTACAAACTATAGATGTGTTTGTCCATGACCATCCTACCTACCAACAATGTTCCACCTCTTTGTTTTACTGTCACTTCTGCAGGAGCTTAACGACAAGATGGACGAGCTAAAGCCGCTGATCCCCGTGCTGGAGCAGTACAAGATGGATGCTGCAGTCATTTCCCTGTTCAAAGAGGAGATCAAGAACCTCTCTGCAGTGCTGACGAGCATCCAGGAGGAGCTCGGGGCCTTCGACTATGACGAGCTCTATCAGCGAGTCCTGCGTCTGGACAACAGGCTGCGCAGCTGCATGGGCAAGCTAAGTGAGTAAACACTGCATGTTCAAGAGTCTTCTTTAGTGTCATTAGGAATAGTTCTAACAATGGTACAAGTGAACAAATAGTACTTGCACAACTGGCATTACAATTGGATTTGCTATTCGCTATATAACATCCACTGTCATAGAAAGAGTATGTATCCTTGTTGTATACGTAACGTAATGTTTTTTTTGTTGTGTTGGTCTTATGTCCCACACAAAAATGTGTTTCCTTTAAAAACAATATTTGAATGGCCATGCAATCGTTTCTGTCTCTCCATAAGGCATAAGCTATCTCACTATGAAATACAGCAGAAATGCAGGAAAAGAAATGTCTTAAACAATAGAGCTATACAAACAGCAGAAGCACCATTAAGCCTTCAGTTAAATAAAGCAGCTCACTGCCAATGCTATCTTAGTATGCACAGAGGGCACACTCTCTGGTGGCACAGGCATGAAATTGGCTTGTGAAATCTAGTTAGAGACCAAAAGCACCACAGCACATCTTATCGCTGCATTTCTTTATTAACAGCGTGTGGGAAATTAATGAAAATCACTGGACCTGTTACAATAAAGACATCTGGAACCCGGTTTGGGGCATGGATGACTGACCCTCTGGCATCCACCAGAAACAACAGGGTGAGTTATTAAAGCTTTCTAAATGGTTGTGTGTACAGTACAATATCTGTGTTTTTAGAGTAGGTAAATATCACAACAAGATGGGCCTGACTGTTTGCGTGAAGGGTATTTTGAGGATTAAATCAACATTATAGTAGTGTCTGAAGTGATCTTCTCTGAACTGCATTTCTTCAAAAAACCACATGAATGATTTAAAGATGATATAAAAACGAGCTCAGAAACAGACAGTTTGACATGTGTATCTATCAGGGGTCAGCTGTTTCTCATTACCCTTCCTGTTCATCCTCTCTGCTGTAGGTTTGGTATATGGACAGTTACACCAACAGCAAGATTGTGCGTGAGTACAAGACAATGGACGACTTTGTAGCGGGGGTGGTTTCTCGAACATACAGCCTCCCATTTAAATGGGAGGGAACCAATCATATGGTCTACAATGGATCGCTCTACTACAACAAGTACCAGAGCAACATCATCGTGAAGTACAGCTTTGAGACGGGCAGCGTTCTGGCCCAGAGAGCTCTGGAGTTCGCCGGCTTCCACAACATGTACCCATATACATGGGGGGGGTTCTCCGACATCGACGTCATGGCTGATGAACTGGGAATGTGGGTTGTGTACGCAACCAATCAAAACGCTGGAAATGTCGTCGTGTCCCAGATCGACCCCGACACCCTGCATGTCCTGAAGACTTGGAACACCGAATACTCCAAGAGGAACGCGGGTGAGTCGTTCATGATCTGTGGGACGCTCTATATCACTAACTCTCACCTGTCGGGAGCAAAGGTTTACTACGCTTACTCTACCAAGACTTCAACCTACGAATACATAGACATTCCTTTCCACAACCAGTACTTTCATATCTCCATGCTTGACTACAACGCCAAAGAGAGAGCACTGTATGCCTGGAATAACGGACACCAGGTCATATTTAATGTCACTCTCTTTCATGTCATAAAAACTGATGATGACTCTTAAAGTATCACTTTTCCAACTTAAGCACCTCATTGGTGATACAAGGACCTCCATGTATTCTTTTGTCAAAAAATGGACTATGGTATCTTACCTTGCCACCAAGTGAACTCTTCTAATGTGTGGCTCTGGTCTTTTGGCTGAATTGAGCATGGACACCAATCACTTGATACCTTATAACCAATGTTTACACTTTTCCATTGCTGCTGATTCAGCTGGCAGACCCAACACATAGTGAATAAGGCATTATTCACTATGTGTTGGGTCTGCCTGCTGAAAACTCTCAAAAGCTTTTGCATGAATGTCCAAAAATTGATCTGCAGTGATTTCCTATGATATAGCTGTGTTTTTGTTGCAAATCTGTTTTGCTTACAGTGTTTGCATTTTTGTCTATTTAAAAAAAAAAGTCTATTTAAAAGTATTTAAACCTTTAAGTCAATCTCTTCTGCATATTTGCTACCATGTTGAGGTGGCTGATTATAATGTACAATAGCCGTTCTTTTAAAGATGGGCCTGTCAAATATTGCTGTTATGTATGTATCTGTGGAAGAAAAATATTTGTATTTTTTATAAAAGAAAACCATAGAGGCTATCTGTGCATTTTCATTAAAATAAAAATGTTGTACATTTCATTCAAATGGTTTTGGCTGCCATGATCTTCTAGGATATTAGCCCATTCCAATCAGGAACTCCGATTATAAAAAGACATCTTTCCTATTCATCTTTTTTACATATTTTGACAAAGATGAGTACATATGAGTAACTGATGATGCTGAAGACGGAACCTCTTTTTGGCGGTCAACATGAGGCATTGAGATCATCCTTTGACATTTCAATCGTGAAGTGGCAATGAACCACTGAGGTTACACCTATCACTATCATTTCCCTCCACAGTGTGGTGTTTATTTTTTTAATGGGTAAACCCGGTCACGTATATGTAGTAAAACACACCTGAGGCAAAGTACATTTGCATGCAACACTGACACACTGTTTTGCGATGGGTTGTATTCTGTTACTTTCATCAATACAACTGCCTTTAATTCAAATAGACAAAATAGATTTTTATTAATAATTAGAAAAGAGATTCAAATCAATGTGTAAAGACTTAAGGGAATGTATCACCATAGTAGCTTTATAATATTTTGTTTTGGTTTGAAAATGAATATTTTTCATCCTCTGCACGACCTCTTTGTTTCTGTGGGTTAACAGTACCCCCTGACTATGTGATTGGGTTTTTAACATTCCTGACTGCTGTTCTCCTTCCTTTATTCATTCCCCATTTTGCGATTGAGGCTACATGTGTCCCTCAGTAAAATGCATCCCTGTATTAACCTGCACCGCCAACAACAAAAAACCTTCCCATCAGGAAATCTGTATTAAATGGCTTTAGAAGAGAGCTCGATTAGCATTGATCTTCCCACTCTACCTCCTTGCTTCCTCCCCTGTACACTGCATCTGATCTGGCTGTTCGGTTTGCTGGGCACTTTCTCATAGAGATAGGAGAATCGGATCAAAATCTGCATGTTTGACCACACTCACATCTTTATCTGTGCTCAGAAACTGTCACAAGATACACAGAACAGGCTGGGTACGCTCCAGTGGTTGCTATATCAGAATATATCAGACTATATTAGACGTGAAGTGGCTTTAGGCTATTGGCCTCACCTGTTATGTGTTTTTGATTGGGCTCATTCAGATTCTCTCAGAGTCCAGAGCTGAAAAACGCAGTCCCAAGAAACCTTTAAACACAGAAACAACATTGATAGGGGTTCACTCTTTTTTTTAATACAAAGAAATGGCACATGTATTTCTAAGTGTGACCTAGGAAGATCATTTGAAGCCAAAGATGAATGGAGTCTTCCTCTGATTGGACATTGTTTTCCGTGTTAACCCCTTATTGGGTTATCTTTCCTGTCCTCTTAGTGCTTTTGCTCAGGTGATGCTGATCAGATCTCAGACCGCCTTTGAACAGATCTGCTCTTGTCTGCCCTCATAAGGAGGAAAAGGTGTCTTTCTCTTGTTCGCAGCCTGTCTGAGCAGTTCTCGGTTGGCTTTGGTTTGCCCTCATTTTGCACTTTATATTTTCCTTGATTTGCCTTGTTTCTTAAAAGTACGGAGGACCAGGTAGTCCAGTTTTTGCTGCTTTGTTTCTTAGTTTAGTTGTGCACTGTAAAACCGGAAAACCGGAAAAAACGCCTGCAGCACAAATGTCAAAATGTCCTGAAACATACTATACTGTATGTCCACAATAAATTAGATTTTCTAGAAATGCCAGTAGTGCATTAATGTGTGCATTACCCGTGTTCTCTGTCGACACAGTTTTTTGAAGGCTTTGTGGAATCCAATCAAACATTCTCTGTACCATAACAGTGGCTTCTGCTGTACTGTAGCAGAGGGATCAATGGGGATTGTTCTGTGGTTCCTTCCCATTGATCCAGGGGGGGGGGGGGGGCTGCAGCACACTGTTCCATTTCTGCTAAATTAATTGAAGGTCAGAGGAAAATGCATTTTGTTCCCATGCTATAATGAGTAGTGGTATCTGTCAATAATCCTACTGAGCTCATAATTGATTTCAAATTCATCCAGGTTTAGGTCCAAACACCAGCGTACCTTTAAAACTTCTACCTTGAATTCCCAGTACATATTTTACTTGAAGTGCTTCCGCTCAAACTAACTTTTCTGCATTACTTTGTTTGTCTGTGTCATCTGCCCAAATGTGATTGCTAGGGGCCCCTAGATATTGCAGTACCCAAAGTTTAGAAGCTGCAAAGTGAATTTGTGCTGCTCTTTTGTGATTTTGTATTTCCTTGAAGTCAAAGAAAGAAGGCTGGAAGCACCTGCCGGAACGAATTACGTTCACGTCACGATGCGCACATTCTAACTTGGCTGACACATCGACAAAAGAGACTAAAGTTTCATTGATACATTCTAATTGTATTGTGAAATCCCACCCGTCATTTCCCCAAAGCCCTAATGTGATATTAGTTTTATGAAAGGCATCCACAGCCACTTCTGTAAGAGCTTAGGTGCCACGGTATGATCCAAATCGGATGATAACTTTTGTCTTGTGAAACACTTTCTCTTTCTTTCTATCTTTTATATTGAGTGTGGAAGCCTTGAGAAAAGACTGGACAACTGCCTACCATTGGAGTTATGACCTAACAGCATTGTCAGCCGCTGTAGTAGATAATTATCATGTCACCCTGACTAAAAGTTGTGTCCCTTTTAATGTGACTGTCTTGAAAGGCCTTGTAAGGGAGCAAGGCTATTATCAGCCGCTGAAAGAGGGGCACAGGTTGAATGGCAAAACAAAACAAATTATCATATTATATTGCTTACATTCTCCTAACTATTAATAGATGAACTGCCTGGAAGTGTTTTCAACATGTTAACACTGTGTTACCCTTATTAAAGGAGCCTCATTATGCTTTTTTGGGTTGTCCCTTTCCTCCAGTTTGTTATTCAGGTTTTTGTGCATGTAAATGATCTGCAAAAGCTAAGATCCCGATGCTCATGCCACAGGGAGTGTCTCATGAACCTGAAAATGAGCATAATAGGGCCCGTTTAACACTTAAGGCCAAAAAGCAGTTTCTTCGGCGTCCCTCAAGAGCTTTACATATATGAAATCATGAAAGGAAATATTAGTTATGATTCACCAAAATGGACAATTCTGTCAAATTCACCATATGACTGGGACAACAATGAGCGAGGCAGTTGCATTTCAAATGCATTGTTTATTTTCTTCTGTTTTTTAGCGTTATGTTAATCCTCGTTCCGTGGTGATGTATGCATGTTTATTTTCAAGAGTCTGAATTTGTTTTGCGAATAATACATGAGGATGTATATAACGCGACCTTGGCGGTGACACTTTTTCTTTACAGAAGTTTACGGGCATGTAAAGATCCTTACAGAAAGCATTTATTTAAATCCCTTAATGATCTAATGACTCAAGGCCTTAGGGGATGATGCATTGTGTCTCAGAGGGCACATCAAAGTTTATTCTGGCCTTGAAAGTACGACCTCAATCAATCAATCAATCAATGTTTATTTATATAGCCCATTATCACAAATGTTACATTTGTCTCAGTGGACTTCACAGTTTGTAAAGAATATCAGTATGACAATACGACACCCTCTGTCCTTAGACCCTCACATCGTACAAGGAAAAACTTCCAGAGAAAAACCCCACAGTTTAAAGGGGAACATGGGAGAAACCTCAGGGAGAGCAACAGAGGAGGGATCCCTCTCCCAGGACGGACAGACGTGCAATAGATGCCGTGTGTACATCGAAGAGATAATACATTTTACAGCATAGGTAGACCAAATGTTGGGAAATGCATGTGTCTATAATAAGAAGATGAATCCACGAGGATGTCAACAATCCTGTGGGAGCCATCAGGGAAGTAGTATGATGAGAGTCAGGCAGGACCACAGAGTCGTGGCAGGTTCAGCCACGACTCGAAGTCCAGGACTCAAATCCAGAACTCAGGATAGAGGATCCAGGACACAGGATCCAGGACTCAGGACTAAGGATCCAGGACTCATGATCTAGTACTCCGGATCCAGGATGCAGGATCCAGGACACATGACTCAGGATCCAGGACACAGGATCGCAGCAACAGGATCAGCCACGACTCAGGATCCCGGCGTAGATATAGACACCAAAAATAAATGTGGGGGAAGCTGGGTTATTGGGAACATGAGAGTACACAGGTACAGACAGACAGAAGGAAGAAGTAAGGTGTCCCCCGACAGTCTAAGCCTATAGCAGCAAAACTAACGTGTCTACGTACATGGACTCCCTTAGGATAGGTTGAGGGAAAGGGGTAGCAGGTAAGAAATAAGGAACAGTCATTTACACTCTGACGGAAACCAATATAATCTAATATAGAGTTAAATGCAACAGCAAGGCTATTTTTATTGTCGTCAACATGAATATTAAAGTCACCTACGATAATTACTTTATCTGTTTTAACCAAAGTTGATCAAAACTCAGAGAATTCTGATACAGATTCTGAATAAGGACCTGGTGCACGGACGGTACACTGTAACACATAAGATTGGCTGCAAAGTTTTCCAGGTCGGATGCGTAAGACTAAAAACAAGGCTTTCAAAGGAGGTATATTTAATTTTGGTTTAGTATTGATAAGTCAACTTGAGTCAAAGATTGCTGCAACTCCACCTCCTCGGCCTGTGCCTCGAGCAATATGAGTATTGATATGGCTGGGTGGAGTGGCTTCATTTATGCTGACATATTCTTCATGTCTCAACCAAGTTTCAGTGATACAGCATATATCAATATTATAATCTGATATTAAATCAATATCAGATTAAGAGTCCACATTTAATCGTCCTGTTTTGTTGCACTGTAGTAGTTGTTACATTTACGTTTATTAGGTTATTATGTATGACACCTCTATTACTTTAAATTGTCCTTGGGCAGACACACACACCGTTAATATTGGGTATTTTATTGGAGAGAGCGCAGAGAAGCGTGTAAGACTGCGACTCCGCCTCCTGGTCTCAACTCCAGTTTGTCATGGATTAAGTCCACGAAGCTCTGAAATGTTTGCCGAAATGAGAT